CATGTCTTGTCCTCTCCTTGAAAAGTGAAGCAAGGGAATGAGGAGCAGCAGCCTTTGTGTGTGCATGCAGCCTCAGTTTTAGTCCAGAAGAGTAGAAGTTACTTCATATATTCATGTTTATGTGCTGTCCAGAAAAAACACTTACATATTACTGGTAAATATTGATATATAATATAATGTGTATTGTGTATTTAGTAAATTCTAGTAGTTTAGAGATTTTGATATTTTTGTAAAATTTAAAAGAATAATTAAATAAATGTTACTACAGCCAATCTGAGACATTTTGATTACTTTTATTTCACGTTGATTAACCTTTTCTGTAAGCTCTCTTAGCTGAACCACAGCAAGCTGTGCATTTAAGGAATGTAACTCCTCTACTTTTTAAATTTCTTTATAATGTGCAATTTGTRTAGCTGACAAATCTCCATCCAAGCTTTCTAAACCAAGCACAGGCAGAGCTTCAGTCTGACAATGTGCACTAAATGCTTGTTTCTGTCTRTCTTCAGTGGGTGCCAAGTCAAGCTCCATTCCTGTAGTCTCTGAGTCAGTCCCGACTCTTATGTCTGTAGGGAGGCACAACAGTCTGGCTAATGCCACTACCTTGATTAAAGGAGTCTGCTTCTTGATTTCATATTATACCGTTTAAACACACATCCATCAACCCAGCCCCATCCTAAGTGCTCATGCCAACGTGATTAAGTCTTCAAAAATGTTATCAGTCATTTGATGTGGTGTCACATAAGTGTTTACCCTTTGTTTATAACTTATTTGACTGACTGTTAAAAGCAGCCTCCTCATTGAAGATGTCCTGTCTGGAGCAAGCATTAGTTTGTTTTTGTCTCTTACATCAGAATGGTTGTTGTCATCTAGTTCCTGTCTTAAGGGAAAAGCCAAGTCAACCTTTTCATTTCCGTATGTCAGGACAGAAAATATATATTTTCTTATCAAAGTATGGCACCTAAATAGTTTAGTCTGCCTGGTCAGCTTCGTCTGTATCAGGATAACAGATGTGAACTGTTTACTTCGGCCCCCAAGGTTCCCTCAGCAGTGAGGTTTCTGCCTAAGACAAAAGTCTCAAGTATGTCCAAAGCACAATCTTTTTCCCAATCGTCTACATTATGTTTCTCTTTTAAAACATGAACCTTTGCCTCTAAATACACCCTACTTTGACCAAAATATATTATCACCATTAATACAATGTATCCCACACTTTCACAGCCRACAGCTGTAGGTACCAGAGTTCTTACAAGAGCTGTAGCCCAGGGCCTATAGCCTGTGTTGGATCTTTAGATGTTATTATGAATGACCAAGCAACATCAAGCTTGGCTTAAACTTAATGTCACTAACCTGCTTTAAAGCTTTCTGTGACATTATGGTTTGACTTGGTCTAGTCTGAAATTTCTCTAGACTTGAATTCAAGTTTAGAATTTGACAAAAACATTTTGGTCTCATTGAGTTAAATTTACTAATTTACTAAGTAATATACTTGAGTTAAATTTACACCTGAATTTTTTACATCAGACTTGACTCAAATGAAATAATGAACATCTTGTGTTTGTTCTGACTACACACAGACTTGACTTGGCTTTAAGTTCATTAATTAATGTCATCAGTTAAAATATTCCTGTTTTGTCAAGCTGTAAATGAGTCACACTTTTATATTTCTTTGACTCTACATGTTTGTGTATGTCCACCAGGTCAAGGATGGATATGTTGGGCTCTCCATCCCGTCACGTATACTCCTCGCAGCCGGCTCAGATGCTGTCTGTTGACCCTGGTTGCCGTGGTGATCGTCAGGTTAGCGGACGCCAGGAGGTGTCGGTGGCTTCTGTCGACCAGGAGGCACACAGCAATGCTTTTATTCGGTCTGTTCCTCTGGCTGAGGAGGAGGACTTTGACAGTAAAGAGTGGGTAATCATCGACAAAGAGGCAGAGCTGCGGGACTTTCTTCCAACTACATCAGGGACCACTGACGAAGAGCCTGAGGAACTCCGCCCTCTGGAGGAGCAGGATGAGAGGAAGAGGCTCAGGGCTGGAGGTACAACTGGCAACACATTCATCTTCTCATATCAAGACAGACAAATGTCAAGTCAAGTCCCAAGTCTGAAACTTGGAATTTTGAGTCTTTTCGGGACTTTTTTTAAACAATGTTGCAGTTATGTTAAATGTATATAATAAATATTCAAGTATAATATGAAAAATTAAATCCATAAAATCATCCATAAAGTTGGGGGTTAGTACTATACTTGGATCAATATTTTTGCTTATGTGTTTTAACATATCGGCCAAATTTACAATGTGCCTGAGTCAAGAAATGAGATCACATCGTAAAAAGCTGTAGTAGCGAGCCAACCCCTGACACTCCTTCGTGCCTCCGAGCAAGATAGTAACAGATCCAAGCAGGCAACATGTCCGTCCGTCCRTTTTCTGCCGCTTATCAGGGATCTGATCACATGGGCAGCAACCTAAGCAGAGAGACCCAGWCCTCCCTCTCCCCAGCCACTTGGACCAGCTCGTCCAGGGGAATCCCAAGGTGTTCCCAGGCCAGCCAAGAAACATAGTCCCTCCAGGGTGTCCTGGGTCTTCCTTTGGGTCTCCTCCAAGTGGGACGTGTCCAGAACACCTCACCAGGGAGGCATCCAGGAGGCATCCTAACCAGATGTCCAAGCCACCTCAACTGGCTCCTCTCGACGTGGAGGAGCAGTGGCTCTACTCTGAGTCCCTCCCGGATGACCGAGTTTCTCACCCTATCTCTAAGGGAAAGCCCAGACACCCTGCGAAGGAAAATAATTTCAGCCACTTGGATCCGCGATCTCATTCTTTCGGTCACTACCCAAAGTTCGTGACGATAGATGAGGGTAGGAACGTAGACCGACCTGTAAACCGAGAGCTTTGCCTTCTGGCTCAGCTCCCGCTTCACCACCCCAGAGCCGGCACGCTACCGGTTTCCAGCTCAAGACCATGGTCTCGGATTTGGAGGCCCTGATCCTCATCCTGGCTGCTTCACACTTGGCTGTGAACCGCTCCAGCGAGAGCTGGAGMTCACGATCTGATGAAGCCATTAGGACCACATCATCCGCAAAAAGCAGACACGATCCTAAGGTCACCATAAAGGATCCCCTCAACACCTTGGCTGCGCCTAGAAATTCTGTCCATAAAAGTTATGAACAGAATCTTGACAAAGGGCAGCCTTGGTGGAGTCCAACTTTCACCAGTAACGAGTCCGACTTACTACCGGTAATGTGGACCAAGCTCTGGCACCGGTCATACAGGGACCTAACAGCCTGTATCAATGGGCCTGGTACCCCATACTCCCAGAGTACCCCCCACAGGAGTCCCCGAGGGACACGGTCGAATGCCTTCTCCAAGTCCACAAAACACATGTAGACTAGTTGGGCGAACTCCCATGCACCCTCCAAGACCCTGCTAAGGGTGTAGAGCTGGTCCAGTGTTACATGAGCAGGACGAAAGCCACACTGCACTTCCTGAATCCAAGATTTGACTATCCAATGGACCCTCCTCTCCAGAACCCCCGAATAGACCTTATCAGGGAGGCTCAGAAGTGTGATCCCCCTGTAGTTGGAACACACTCTGCAGTCCCCCCTTTTTAAATAGGGGGACCACCACCCCAGTCTGCCAATCCAGGGGAACTGCCCCTGATGTCCAAGTGATATTGTAGAGTCACGTTAGCCAATGCAACCCCACAACATCCAGTGCCTTAAGGAACTCATCGACCCCRGCGCCCTGCCACCGAGGAGCTTTTTAACCACCTCAGTGATCTTGGCACCAGAGATTCGAGAGTCCGACCCAGGGGCCTCAGGCTCTTCTTCCTCATGGGAAGATGTGTCTGTAGGATTGAAGAGGTCCTCAAAGTATTCCGCACACTGACCCACAACATCCCGAGTTGAGGTCAGCAGCGCACCATCCCCACCATAAATAGTGTTGGTGGCAAACCRCTTTCCCCCTCGAGACAATGGATGGTGGACCAGAATCGCCTCGAAGCTGTACGGAAGTCGTTTTCCATGGCCTCTCCGAACTCCTCCGATGCCCGAGTTTTTGTCTCAGCGACCACCCGAGCTGCAACCCGCTTGGACTGCCGATACCTATCGGCTGCTTTCAGAGTCCCACAGGCCAAAAAAACTCGATAGGACTCCTTCTTCAGCCTGACAACAGCGATGTCCACCAGCAGGTTTGAGGGTTGCCGCCACGACAGGCACTGACAACCTTACAGCCACAGCTTAGGTAAACCGCCTTGACAATGGAGGTACGGAACATGGCCCACTCGGACTCAATGTCCCCCACTTCCCCCAGAACTGTTCCAAGTTCCCCCGGAGGTGTGAGTTGAAGCTCTCTCTGACGGGAGACTCCGTCTGATGGGAGACTCTGACAGACGCTCCCAGCAGACTATACGTTTGAGTCTGCCAGGTCTGACCGGCATCCTCCCCCACCAATGGAGCCAACTCACCACCAGGTAGTGGTCAATTGACAGCTCCGCCCCTCTCTTCACCTGAGTGTCCATAACATGCGGCCGCAGATCAGATGAAATGACAACAAAGTCAATCATCAAACTGCGGCCTAGGGTGTCCTGGTGCCAAGAGCACATATGGAAACCCTTATATTTGAACATGGTGTTCGCTATGGACATCCATGATGAGCACAGAAGTCCAATAAGAAAACACCGCTCAGGTTCAGATCGGGGAGGCCGTTCCTCCCGACCACGTCTCTCCAGGTCTCACTGTCATTRMCCATGTGAGCRTTGAAGTCCCCCAGCAGAACAAGGGAGTCCCCRTTAGGAGCRCTCTCCACACCCCCTCCAAGGACTCCAGAAAGGGTGGGTAATCTGAACTGTTGTTAGGCACATAGGCACAAACAACAGTCAGGACCCATCCCCCCACCCGTAGGCGGAGGGAGGCTACCCTCTCGTTCACCGGGGTRAACCCCAACGTCCAGGCACCGAGATGGGGGGCAATAAGTATGCCCAGTCCTGCTCGGCACCTCTCAGCATGGGCAACTCCAGAGTGGAAGAGTGTCCAACCCCTCTCGAGGAGACTGGTTCCACCTTATTTTCAACTCCTGTGAGATTTGTGGCTTCATTTGTTGTATTATTTCAGATTTTGCTATATTATTCATATTAATCAGCTGCTCCCTGTTGTAAAGCACACTGTTGCTATGGTTACACATCATAACATAGAGCAAAATAYAAAAGTATTGGCAAAAATCAATCCAGCTGCACAGCATCCAAAACAAAAATGAACAGCTGTCCAAAAAATAAAAATAAAAATAAAAAAACTTTTTCCAGAAAGGCAGGAATGAATGCCCAAAAAGATGAAAATCACAGAGCTACTTCAACTTGCTGCCACCCCCAGTTCCAGAACTTCCTAGTCTTCCTTTAAAYTATAACTTTTCATTTTTAAATATCTGGTTCATTTCATTTCCTGTGCTGCAGCTCACATGCACAGATGGTCTGCCTTTATTAATATGGAAGAGTGAAAYTGGTTAATGGGGCCCACTTTATAAATAATGTTTATTAAACTTGATTGTGGGTAAAATATAGTCTTTTCAAGTAAACAGGGTCAAGTCCAATTCAAGTCCCAAGTCATTAGTGTAAAAGTTCAAGTTAAGTCACAAAGTCTCTGAACATTTTTTCACGTCTAAAGTCATAATATTAATGACTTGAGTCCGACTCAAGTCCAAATCATGTGACCCAAGTCCCCACCTCTGTTTCACTTTAACATAAGGTTATACTGTATGTTCAATTGATTCCTGATCTTGTTTTCATCAGAAATCAGTACRAGATTATAGTGGCCTTAAGGTTTTGTGAGATATTTTTATCTGGAAAATGAACACAAGATTAGTTAAGGTTAAACTGRTTGATGACGTCTTACAGAATCTTTTTCACCTTATGTTGATGTTGACATGAAGCTCACCTTGTTTCTCTGTCACTCATGCTGACATGCTTCTGATCTTTAATGTGATAAATGATGAACAATGCAAACTGTACAGATTATCAATCAAGTTTTCAGTGACTCAGGTTGGGTTCATTTTTGACTCAGAACACGTCCTGAAATATGTTCAACTTTTGATTTTTCCTGCAGCCGGTGAACTGGTGGTCCGTCCGAAAACTCAAACTCGTGAGAACAGTCGGGGAATGCTAACGTTAACAGAGGAGGAGGCATCAAGGAGGAGTGGCGGAAGCCCTGCACAGTCGCCATGTCACTCACTTCCGTCGGGACGTCCTCGTCGGAGAGAGTCAGAGCCCACTGGACCTCAAAGRCCGGTAAGAGGCACAGCTACTAATCAAAGAATTCTCCTGGCATATAGTGTAGCTGGACAGATGAGTAGAGTGGATAGATGTTAATCAGGTTTAATCTCTGTTAACTGTGTTGTTAGTGCTGTCACAGCTGCCACCTAAATGGAATTTAAAGGACAAATCCAGCACAGTCAGATTTTGTTTTGTCAGTTATGTTTTTGTTTAGTTTTTTTTTCCTGGTGCAGAAATGTTTATTTATTATTATTATCATTATTATTATTTGCTTTAGATTTTTTCTGGCTGCTCCCTTCTGCAGGCGTCACCACAGTGASTGCGCCTGCATGAATTATTTGGCAGTTGTTTTATACTAGATGCAGTTCTTGACTCATCCTGGTCTTGAGCCTGCYGCCTGAATGTTGCAGGACTGCAGCACTGACCACTGAGCTACTGCAGCTCCAAAACACGCTTGGAATTACTTACTTGAAGTGTTTTATTTACATAGGGGTCGTTGTGGCAGAGTGGTYAGGGGAGTTGTCCTGGAACCRGAAGGTCACCGGTTCGATCCCCCGTCCATCYGTCTCTGTTGTTGTGTCCTTGGGCAAGATACTTAACCCCAATGCCTCTGATGTGTCCCATCAGTGTATGAATGTGATTGGCACTGATTAGTCTCCATAGWTGATTGTACATGTTAGTTTGTAGGAGATCTGGTAGAGTGCTGTATGAATGGATAAACATGGACATAGGTTGTAGTGTGAAGAGCTTTGAGTGTCCTGGTTGGGTAGAAAAGCGCTATATAAGTACAGTCCATTCACCATTTACATCAATATTGAGTGTGTTTGTGCATGACATATAGCTTTAGGTAAATATCTAACCTGATATCTTTATAATATCTTTGATTWAATAATAAATAAACTAAAGTAAGAATCTGTCTTCCATTACTGTTTTACTCTAGTGTTGCTTACATTAAATTTAATGTGCTTACAGACATGAAGCAGGTGAGTGCACAATAGAATACAATAGAGGTCATGTACATGATGCAATCAGCCATCTTTCTTGGGGCGGCTGTGGATGAACGATTAGGGCAATCGTCTTCCAAAGAGAACGTTGGTGGTTCGATTCCCTCTGCTCTTCAGTCACATGTCGAAGTGTTATAGGGCAAAACACTAAACMACCACTGCCACTGATGTGGCACTGATTAGTCTCCATATAATGATTTATTTAGATTAGCTTTGTAGTGAGATTTACAAGTAAGCACAACACCCCACCGGCTACCCCTTTCTCACTATGTCAAGATAAATGATAAACTGCATGGGGGGGGGGGGTCTAAGTGCTCTTTAAGCCTGACCGAGCAGTAGTTGGCAAAAGTATGAGTGATGAATAGTCCTGGAAGATTTTAGCAAGTTACTCTATTAAAATACTTGGCTTTTTTTTTTTTTTTTTTACAAAATACAAGTATGCCATTGGATGAGTAGGACTTGCACAAATCTTTTATTTTGGTTTTGTTGTTGAAGAAGTCCTGTAGTTAAACCCACTGTTTGACTTTGGTCATCTTTTTTGTGCAGGTACAAAGATACTCCAATTGTTGTTGATTTGATTTTCAGACAGTCARATGAAGTAATCTTAGTAAAGGTTTTCTTACTGTGGCTACCTTTGGTATAATAATAACTTTAAGAATCCTTTTCAATGACTGGAAGTCATGAAAATTCTGTTTTTACTGTTCAACTGGTAGAATGGTGCTGCCTCTCTGTCTTTGATGTTGGATCAGTCACTTATTTTTACATTTTTTAAATTATCTTTAAACCATTGTTTTCATCAGGAAGAATGAATGTGAATCCTTAGCTGTAGTAGATCTGTTCCATACAACTTGTGGCAATGTAGAATGAAGTTGATTCTCTATGTATTTTTGTGGTGTCTGAAAGTATGGTGAACCCTTTGGGATTACTTGGATTTCTGCATAAATGGTCATTAAATGTGTTCTGGGGCCTCATGCATAAAGGAGTGCACAGCTTTCACACTAAAAGTTGACGTACGGACAAATTTTAAAAAAGTGCGCCGCACCAAAAAAAATCAGATGTATAAAACTGCGCACGCAGGTTTCTGCACAACTTTCCTTTATACATCCCAATTTGCGTGAAACTGAGAGCAGCTGCTGGTGCAGCTCGGACCGCCTTGACCCCGCCCACAAATGAATATGCAAATTAGTATAAATTCAAGGCAGGCTCGCACCCTTCATCCAAATAACCATGGCAAAAGYGTTAAGCAAGACCAAAAAAATAAATTTCACTGAATGTGAAACAGAAGTGTTTGTTTCAGAGGTTGAGGTGAGAAGAAGGATTTTATTTGGAAGTCACTCCTCTGKGATTACAAATAAAATGAAAAGAAACGAGTGGTAGAAAATAGAAAGGCAGTGAACGCAGCAGGAGCACAAATGAGATCACTGTCAGAAATGAAGAAGAAATGGTCGGACATCAAGGTGGATGTGAAGAACAGGGTTGCTGCACATCACCAGAGTGTTTCAGCCACAGGTGGAGGTCCAGCTTTACTGGAGCTGACTCCACATGAAGAGCGAGAGGCTGCAGTGATTGGGGAGACARCGCTCGTTGGYATCCTGCCAGCACATGAGGCRGAATCTGACATGATTGGTATGTATGATGTGTAAAAAATACTTTCATTATGTTAGTCTAGAAAATTAAATATACTGTATGACATATCATTAAGCAGAGTGGACACACTGAGTTATTATTACTTTTATTGGCAGTTCAAGTGGAAACCAGGGAATGCAGTGCCAGAGACGCAGAGGAACCCAGTTCCTCATCCAGCTTCTCCACTGGACCCCCCGACAGCCCCTCACTCGGTGCAACGGGAGGTGCCTGAAGCAGAGGYACCGCGGGCCTCAGCTGAAGGAGGTCATCAATCAGGCCGGGTGCTGACCAATGCTGTGCTTCAATCACAGATGGAAACTGTTCAAACAATGAGGAACATTCGCGCTGAGTTACAGCAGACCAACAGGCTTCTGAGTGACATCAGCCAGTCATTAAAGAAACTGGCAGAAAAATAAAAAAATGTTTGTGCCCATACCTGTATTGTTTTATAATGTCTGAATGAAATCCAAACGATGCTGGTTCACAGCTGCATTTAACTCATTTATGGGTGCTGGCCCAGGGTCTGGATCATCGTTGTCGACAYCCACATCAAGTAGAGGCACCCCACAAAGTTTTGTCACATTATGCAACATGGCACATGCTACCACAATGCAACATGCCTTCTGTGGAGAGTGAAGCAGGACGCCACCACTCCTGTCCAGGCAGCACCTGCAGCCTTTGAGATGCCCTATAGCGCATTCAATAATAGACCGTGCTCGGGCATGCAGCGCGTTATATCGCAGCTCTTGTTCTGTGTGGGGGTTGAAGAGTGGAGTGAGGAGCCAGGTAGCAAGTGGGTAGCCTTGGTCACCTAAAGATAATTAGTACACTTAATAAATTGAGCTGACACAAATATGCCTCTCACTGTGACACAAATGATAAAAGGCTGTAAATAATTCAGAATGTTGCAAGAAAAAATAAATAAATACCTAGAAGCCAGCCATCACACACAGCTCCTACTTCAAGTTTATTCCGAACTATTCCGCAGTATAAAGRAATCATGAGTTGAACCAGGCCAACGTGCCACTATATTTGTGAAACACATTTGTGCATCACAAATTAGTTGCACATTTATTGAATGAAAATGCTTCTGATTCACAAAAGCAAATTAATTTTCAGAAGGTGCTCTTACAGTAATATGAGTGCAGTCAATAGCTCTGATTACATTTGGAAATCGGCTCTTCGCTGCTAATTGCGATTTTATGTTTGCCTATTCAGCCACATTGTAAGAAATTTTCATAGTTAGTAATAAGAACGAATGAACTTTGGTTCCACCCTCAGGCTTAGAGATGAGTCAGAGAAAGAAAGATAAAGTTTGCCAGGCGCCAGTCAAGGTTAACTCTGTGGTTGAACATCATGATAACCCCTTTAGCTTTCTTCTGATAGACTCTAAGAGAAATCTCTGCAAAACATTTATGATGATTAACTGTAACCTTTCTGTTTATAATCAGTTCTGAACCTTTTGTTAGTCCAGATAAATGAAAGATTTTCTCAGGAAAAATCCACAATTATATTACTGTGTTCACAG